ATGCTTCCATTGTGTCTGGATCCCTGGAAGTGGTAAATATCTGTTGAGTAGAGGAGGGAGGCAGATACTGAGCTGTCAGAACAACAGTGGGGAGAGAAAGAAGCTAACTTACATTTCCGATTACAATTACTTGGGTAATTGTGATTAAATCAAGCTAGCCCTTACAAAAGAGGCCATTCCCTGGCGATCTGTCGGACAACTTTATCGTCTGTTCTACACACAAAAGGGCAGTAGTGTGAACACAGTTTTGTGATTGAGTTTCACATGGACCCTAATAGGAATAAAGATAGCCAGCTGTGCATTTTTAGGCACTTCAGGGAAACGGCCAGTCAAGGAGAACAGCCGTGTAAGAATCCCTTACCTGATTGGACCTCATGTCCCAGAGAATTCGGTGAAGAACTATTCTACCTCCATCTCTTGAGTTACTGTCAAATTCCGTTTTCGTTGCTGTGAAACATTGCCAAGCTACAAAACTAAAATAATTCATTATTGTTCTTGCAAATAATTTCAGGCCTTTGGTTTTTCATGCCCTCTGCTTTTTCTTCCCTTTCCATTCATTTATCTCAGTTCACATATTCACCTTTTTTTACATCGTTACTGCAAGCCTGTTATTCTATATCATCCAATAACACTCTCGTTTTAAAAATTTTGAGAGGAGTGCATTTCACTATTATTATTCAAGAAAAATGCCATATTTGCTCCTACTATTAATAAAGAGTGATAGTCTCACTAGGAAATAATAAAAGTTTTCTATTAGATTTAAGCTTTGGTAGTCAAGTTTCTCTCTACCATCTTTCTTTGCTTTTTGTTGTTGTAGAAACACCATAAAGGAAAATGTAACTCAGTGATCTTGGCTTCACCTTTGAAAGTCATAAACTCCTAGGAAACCCAGATCCACTCATGCCCTAGTGCTACTGAGAATGGAAGATTCCAGAGGGACTTCAGGCCCCGGGGCACGAGGACTTCCTTCTGAAGCCCTGGGTCTTTCATCTGACTTCTGCTGGGACTTCTCAGAGCCTTACACATCTTGATTCCTGTCCTCCTATTGTCAGGCTGTCAGGAAGAAGCCTCTGAAAAGCCCACCACCTTCTGAGCTGAAGTGTGTTTCTCACAAGAGTCAATATTTTCAGCTTTCCCTATGCCCCGAGTGTGTCTAAAAGGGCTTCCTAGTATACAGCCCTTTTACTCCAGGTGAGTGTCGACAGAGAAAAATGGCTTTCATCTTTTATTCTTCTGCAGAGAGTAAAAAGATGAAGCTCAGATACCTTATTTTAGACTTTATTAGATCCTTCAGATTAAGTGATATTTTTAAAAATCATGAAAAGAAATGCAATAACAAAAATAAAACTAGAGTGTATTAGTGCAAATGTTGTTTCTTTGAACTCATTAACTTTAATTAACTTTGTTCTTGATGATGAGCTATATAGTCCTTGGCTTAGATGATAGATTCTCCTTCTGATACGAAGGAGAATACTTAAATCCTCACGCAGTTCTGGGTACATGGAAAGTGCTCAGTAAATATCTAGGGAAGGAACGTAGAATGAAAAAAACCAATCAAACTGGATCTGACATCACGAGACCTGAGTCCTAGGACTGATACTAATTTAAGTGGCTCTGATTTTGAGCTGTTAGCCTTATTTTTCTAATCTCTAAAACGAAAATGTTGGATTGGATAATAATATTGTTTAAATGTAGTATTGTGTGTCAGGGATGGGTCTTTTTCAATACACCGATGTTCTTTCTTTTTAAAAATAATTCTTTTTTAACAAGAATTTCTGTTACAGCTTTGAAACTGTTCTTGAAACAGCACTAAATCAAAATACCTTTACCCTTGAGACTCTATATTCTGGACAGAGTAAATATCTTTCCAGTTTATTTAATTAAGGAATAAAGTGTGTTTTTTTAGGATAGTATTTTATATCAGTATTTTCCTAGACATTAGAATTCTATACTAAAATCATCCCATCTTTAACAGAAATGATTATAAAAATTGTATAGCAGAAATTACTTTTCTGTTGACAGGGAAAGGCAGTTAAACGACGACATTGATCTCTTGCTTGCATGTTCTTAGACCCCTAATTTGCTCTCACCACATGGTGCGCTCACATGTGGGAACTGAGCTGGGCATAGCGAGATCACCACTTACTAGCCTCCACGATTGATTCGTCTTCTAGCTGAGAGGTTATGTCCATTGGGACTGATCATGGTCCAGCCCAGACAGCCAGTTTCCTGCCGTAATTTTTTTCACCTTTTTATTTTGAAAGAATTCAGGCTTATAGAAAAAGTACAAAACTAGTACAAAGAATTTCCACCATTCCCCGCATGTTAACATTTTACCACATCTGCTTTTGCATCCCCTCTCTATGTGTGTGGATGGATGGGTGTGTGCATATGTATGTTTTCCCCTGACATAATTGAGAGGAAGTTGCAGACATGTTCTTTTACCCCTAAACGCTTCAGTGTGTATTTCCCTAAAATAAGACATTTTCTTAAATACAATGATCACAAGAAAGAAATGAACATTTATATACTACTATCTAATCTGAGGGTCTTCTCAAATTTTACCAATTGTCTCATTAATATTCTTTGGAGAAAAAATTGTTTTAATTTCTGGTCTATGAGTCAATCCATAATCATACATTATTTTCATTACTAAATGTCTCTTTAGATTCCAATAGTCTGACAGTTACTCATATTTCTTGGATTTTCATGACCTTGATGTTTCTGAAGCAGACAGGCCAGTTATTTCATAGAATACCCCTGTTTGGATTTGTCTGATGTCTCCTCAGAATTGGATTCAAGCTACGCGTTATTAGCAGGAACCTCCAGAAGTGGTATTTTGCCCTTCTCGATGCATCATCATCAGGAGGCAGAGGGCATTTGATCACTCGTTACGGGTGATGTGTACTGTTTCTTCACTGTAAACTTACTGTTTTTCCCTTCGTGATGAATACAAATTTTATGGGGAGATAGTATTTTTTCAAGTTGATAGTCAATATTATATTAGTTTCAGATGTACAGCACAGTGGTTAGACATATAACTTATAAAGTGATCCCTCCAATATTGTGGGGAGATAGTTTGAAAGTATGAAAATAACCTATTTCTTATACTTTCACTCACAAGTTTTGACATCAATTGATAGTTGTCTGAAACAATTATCATGTTGTCAGTTGGTTATATTCTCATTCCTTCATCCTTTTAACTGTTACAATACTACTGCAATAAAGTTACATTCATTCGTATTAATACAGGCTCACAATTTCTTATTTTGTGGATTATAATCTGCTAATATTGCTTTGATCCTAAAATTGTCCCATTTCTTTGCCCGTGGGAGACCTTCAGCTGGCTCCCGTCCTTTTGACACGTCTCCATTATTTGAATACTTCCTTTCTGGCACATTTTTGTTTCAGGTTTATGTTGTAATTTCCTGCTTCAGCCATGGAATTCGCCATTTCTTCATGGAAACTTTCTTTCTTTAATGGAAAATAGAGTTTAGAGACTAAGTTCTGGGCCCTGGGTGCTATTCGTTACTGGGATATCATAGGCTCTCTCAGAGGAAAGCTGGAAAATGCAGTGACTCACCCAGATCCGTACCCACAGCTAGGTATCCATTCCGATTCGACATCACCTATTTCTAGTCCTCTATTTCTGTGTATCTATTTAAAACCGCAAAC